TAATGTTGACAACTTTAAAATATAGTTTTATTTTTAAATTACTTTATTTCTGATTATTACATAATTAATTACACATCATTCCACTACTAATAAGCACGAAATCGTTTACGTTTCTCATTTGGGACAAGTAAAATCTTTTTCAATAAGTAATGCGTTAATAATATTACAGATACGGCGGGCAACGAGCTACCGGCGCGCTCGTGCAGACGACTTTAAAAGGGGTGCCAGACCAATTTTCCAGCCAGTACAAGTAGCCAGACTTATTTTTTTATAATTTTATATATTTAAACTACCATCTTGACAAGTTACAGCTCTAATCAAATGATTCTACAAATCGACTTTTTACAACGACTTTGGGAGGATGCCAGACTCATTTTCCAGTGTCAGTTGCATGCCAGACTTTTCTAAAACATTTCTTTATATAAAAAACAATAAATATATAAAAGCTCAGCACTAATCAAATTCTTCCAACATAAGTGTTTTTTCGACAAGATCAAAGGCGCCGCAACGCCCATTCCAGCGAGACAGCGCAGCCAGACTCTGCATTTCATCAACAACACTATTAAAACAAGAGAAATTACTTTGTTCCAAGACTAATCAAATCGCTGACACTTTTGTGTCGCTACTTACCTCCCGGACTATTAGTATGGCAAACTTATTTACCTTTAGGTTACAAGATGTATCTGATCAAACTATTACTTTTCTATTGTCATATATTAATTTCCGGTTGAATACGCGTATATCCTACCGGTGCGATGCAAATCTAATAAATGTTATTATAAGTATTCTACATTATTCGAGAAAAATTTTCTGCGTATATGATTTCATAACGATTATACCGATTGGAAACGATTGAAACGGATTCGTACTCAAAGATGTAATTTCACTCGTTTTCTATCGGTTTGAATCAGTCTGAAATGATTCACATAAAACTACAGGGAAATAGTATTAATTTGCAAAATGACACCGATTTTCTACATCACGCATACATGACTATTTTAAATAAATTGTAAACCATGTCTACGATTGATGTCCTTATTGGCTGTACAATTGTTATGACGCGTCGAGCTCTCGTGCTCTCATTGGTATTTTGAATTTTATCACAATAATACTTTTATCATCGACACAACTATCTATGTATACATTCGAATTCTGACTACGTTACGTTAAATGTTTTGATTCCGTCCGTCGTTTTTAAAATGTCGATGCTACCGACAAGTCACTTCGATTATTTATTAATTCCCACGTTCTCTTTGGCCATTTGGTAAGTTAATCACTGTCTCGGGTTAATTAAGTATTGATTTTATACATCAAAATCTTACAGATAAGGATCATTTGGTACAAATAACACGAGTCGACGAGCTTGCTATTTGGTTTGGAGATCGTGGGCTAACCATTGTTATCGCTGAGGATGGCTCGAAATTGAGCCGAAACGTTTGAAGTTATATCCAAGAAGATGAATAAATGAGACATTGCGCAAGAAGAACCGCGTTTGACCCTTATAGCCTCTTTTCTTCCCGTTTGGTTAATTCAGTCTAAATTGTTATGATTTCGTGAACCCCGAAATCACGAAATTATAATGATTTAAACGGATTGACTGACCGATTCAAACTGATAGAATCCGTGAATTCCGGATATATAAACAGGATTATTTACTATTTTATTATAATTCCGTTCTTTGTACTACAAATTTATTACAAAATATGCAGTATTTATATAACCCTTCAAAAACACACCTTTTTTTCATTTACGGAGAACACTGGGTCAATCTGACCCTACACACACTTTGATCGTCCACCATTTTAAATTGACGAGTGCAATTAGCTTGACAAAATTCCCAGATGTACTTGGAACATTGTTATATCAATTGATATAAATAAAAGTGCCATTGGAATTATTTACATATTTTTAAAAATTCAAAAAAATTCAAAAATAATTTTTTTTTTTTTAATTTTTTAAAATATGTAAATAATTCCAACGGCACTTTTTATTTATATCAATTAATTTAACAATGTTCCAAGTACATCTGGGAATTTTTTCAAGCTAATCGCACTCGTCAATTTAAAATGGTAGACGATCAAAGTGTGTGTAGGGTCAGATTGACCCAGTGTGTTCTTTTAGAAAAAAAAATGTTTTTTACAAAAAAAATTTTATTTTTTTATGTTTAATATTTTTGGCTAAAAATTTTTCTGGCAAAAAAAAGGGTCAAATTAACCCTGTGTGTTCTCGAAGGGTTAAATAAAAACATTTTACAGTTTTGCAAATATAGAATTCATGACTTTAACAAAAGGAAATCCTGTAGTAAGAACTCTATTACGTAAAAATTATGTGTTATATACAATTTTAATGATTAAAGCGGATTTAATCCAATTCACATAGCTACTTTCACTACCCAATTTAAATGGATTAAGCGCAGATACGATTGAAACCGATTGAGTAGAATTTAGATGAATCCGGAAATATCGCATTAAATCCGATTCCGATGTTGTATTAAAATTTCACGATTGATGCGGATTGAATACGATTCATGTGGTCATTTTATTTACCCGATTAAAATGGATTAGGATTAATACGATTGAAACCGATTCAGTCGGATTCAAATGAATCCGGAAATATCGCATTAAATCCGATTTCGGTGTTGTATTAAAATTTTACGATTGATGCGGATTCAACACGATTCATGTGCTCACTTTATTCACCCGATTAAAATAGATGTGCATTAATACAATTGAAACTGATAACGACGGATTCAGATCAATCCGGAAATGCCGAATTAAAAACGATTCCGATTGATTTGTTATTAGAACCAATTCACTTCCAATCGGGCATCCGATTAACCGGATTGAAAACGCATTCATTCCGATTCAAATTCACCAAATTTAATACGGAACCAATCGGATTTAATCGGTCATTTTCAGCAGGGATAGTACAGTGAATCTTGCTGTGGCGCGGCGGCAGATTATTTACATACTAAATGTTTATGTATAACTTTTAGAACATATATAACTGGAAGGAAAATTGCCTATACCTCCCGTGGAACGAGCCTGTGTCCAATACTATGCGAGAGAAAAGTTCTAATCGCTCGCAATGCGCATACGCAGAAGCGCGATTTTAACCCTGCTCTTACCAAACAGTAGGTAACCATGGCAATAACGATGTCTGCGTATGTGCAGGCGATTAGGACTTACTACCTTTCTCACTTGCACTGTTGGACACAGATTCGGCACTTAAGTCCCCTTCTATTTATGTATGTTCTAAGGTATAACTAAAATTGCAATGTACATATGGCTAACCTTTTATTTACATCATTTTTTATACTGCAGTATATATAGTGCGACATAAAATAATACAATGATATGTTGTATTTTTCACATTTGTATAATACATATATCTTATACTATAGAAAACTATGAGAAGCCGGGCTTTGAACGAGCGACGTGCTCCCGCCCTTCTAGAGGGCAGCTCCCGAGTGGCGCGAGCCTCGGGGCGCCACGCTTACGTGCGGTCGTTGTGGGAGCTCACAAGAGCTCACGGTATCATAGAGTACAGACGTGTATTGTACGAAGAGCAAATATATAATATATAGAGTATTCGAGAAATACGTGTGTTTTCCTGTCCACCTCGCCACGAATACAGTCACCGTTATCGAATAGCCTACAGGTTATGGGCCCAGGGCACGATTCCCCTGCGTAAAGAACGAAGCACGAAAACATCTAGTTGAACGTGTAACGCGAAGTGTGTGAGACGCCGGCGAAGGGCATCGGGAAGACAAAAGCATTTAGAAGAATCATTTAGAAGAATCATTTAGAAGATTAGAGGGTAAGTAAATAATATTCCTCGTTGCTGACGAGCAAAACGAGAGAATTCTCAGCAAATAAGAACGTTCGTTCGATAAATGCCGTTAGAAGGAAATAGATGTTTTTGCCTTCTTCTTGAGAGATAGAAATAGAGGCAACAGTGACAATAAGAGAATTAGAGATAGATGTATAAAGAGATAGATGTGTGAGATATAAAGAGATAGATGTGTGAGATAGAAAGAAATAGATGTGTGAGATAGAAAGAGATAGATATATGCCGCTTGGTAACAAGCTGGCGGGAAAAGCGATGTGCCTGTGCAAGTCCGATCGTGAACGGCGAGAGTCATTTTTTTTGACGCGCGAAAGTCCGATCGTGAAAAGTGAGTCACTATTTTGGCGCGAGGGACGCGTTGCCGGGTACGCGCTGACGCATGATCGATTGGAAAAATATAGCATTGATGCGACGCCATAACACATATATATATATATATATATATATATATA